AATTGTGAATGTATATATGAAATTGATAAAATAAAATAAAAATTAAAAAAAAATAGCCAATGCTATCCAAAAGTGTCTCCGTGGTCATGTGGCCGGCATGACTCAACGCCAAAGGCGCACGGAACGCTGTTACCTTCCCACCTATTTTTCTACTGGCATTTTTACGTGCTTTCGAACTGCTAGGTTGGCAGAAGCTGGGACAAGTAGCGAGAGCTCACTCCGTTACGTGGCGCTAGGGATTCAAACCGCTGAATTGCCGACCTTCTGATTGACAAGTTCAGTGTCTTAGCTTCCTGAGCCACCACGTCCCTTTTCTTTACAAAGTACATACTTCAAGAATTGTAGGGTTTCCCATAACTCAAGGGAGGGAGTGATGGGAGAATCAGGAGATCCGAATTGTGAAATCTAATTTTCACATCTTCAATGTTTGAGAAACAAGGCTTGTTTTTTTTTTACAATGTCTGTGTGAGTTGTTCAAGTGTAAAAGACCGAACATCCGTAGTGCAAAGTTTAAAGCCAGAGAAGGTTAAACATTGCAGGATTGGTATGAGCTGAAATAGCAGAGTGGTGTTTTATTATATTTAGCAGGGGATCTAGTCCATCTGATGTTTTGTTTCTGATGCATTTTCAGAGCTGGGAGAAAAATTATTCCAAGAAGAGGGAAGGGGCTCAACCAGGAATCGATCTGCGCACTTCTCCAAACAGGGACCCTGACGTTATGAACAAGAAACCGAGGGAGAAGCTTGCTCTCCAGCAAGCGAACCCACCTGCAACAAAAACCAAGGAAGTTTCCCATCGCAGATCTGACCCATCTTCACCAAATTTGGTGGGACATATAAACGAAACCTCCAACTTTCATCCAACCAAGACTGGGAAGAAGATGGAAACTTTGCATCCCTCCAAAATCAGATTTGAGCCCAAGGTGCAGCATCTGGTTGCTTCTTCGCACAGCGTCAATAGGAGGGGAGGACAAGGGATGGGTGCCCTCGCTGTGGATGATGGTAATTCGGGCAAAAAGGTGGGTGGTGTTTTTTTTCCTTCTTCCTAAACCCAGAGGAGAGGGAGAAAGGGTGTGCCAGAAAGCCCCCCCAGTTTCAGTTCTGTCCTTCTCCACTTTAAAAGAGGAGGTGGCTCTTTTAGAGCAGGGAAGTTAAGCAGAAGAGAAGGTACATCCCGAAGAGGACAAGGCACCACCTGGTAATCCCATCCCTTTAGTTAAATATACTGTTACCAGGATGAATCTGCTCATCCACTCTGGTTTTTTGAAGGAAGCTGCTGGGGATCAGTGCAACCCCTGCTGCTTATGAGGTCCATGACTTTGGGGCAAGATTGAAGTCCTTCTTGTCCCCACCCTGTGGCATGCTCCCCCCCTCTCCCCAAGAGCACAAGTGCTGTGGTGTTGACACTCTGAATACAACTCTCATCCTGACCTTATTTGAATGGGCTCTTGAAATCTGGTGCTTCCAAGATTTGCTCTCTCAGTGAGACTTTGGTGTCAACTTAATTGTTTGAGGGTGCTTTTTCTTGCCTATTATTATTATTTCTGGCTGCTTTTTATTGTGAAGTTGGTTTTTCCTTTATCCTTTTCCTCCTTGTGAATTTATTCTTTCTTTTCCTTCATGTATCTTTTCCTTCCATTCCTTCCACTTCTCCTTCCTGTCTTTTTCCTCCTTCTTTGGCTCCTCCTCCTTGTCCATCTTCTCCTTCTCTCCTTCTCCTTTCATCCTCCTTATTGTCTGCTCCTCCTCCTTTCCTCCTCTGCTTCCATCCTTTCCTCCTTTCCCTCCTCCTTTTTCTCCTGCTCTTCCTCCCCTTCCTTCCCTCCTACTGTTTCTCCCCCTTTTCTCCTCATTCCCTCCTCCTTTTTCTCCTCCTCCTCTTCTTTCTCCTCCTGTTTTCTCCTCCTCTTCCCCTCCTCCTTTCCTCCTCTTTCTCTTCCTCCTCCTCCTCCTCTCCTCCTCTTTCTTCTCCTCTCCTCCTCCCCTCCTCCTTTTTCTCCTCCCCCTCTCTTCATTTCTCCCCTCCTTCCTTCTTTGTTCCCTCCTTCCTCTCCTTCTCCTCTCGTCCTTCCCTCCTCCTCTTTCTCCTCCTCTCCTCCTCTTTCTCCGCCTCTCCACCTCCTTCCCTCCTCCTTTTTCTCCTCCTCCTCTTCTTTCTCCTCCTTCTTTTTCTCCTCCTCTTCCCCCTCCTCCTTTTCTCCTCTTTCTCCTCCTCTTCCTCCTCCTCCTCTCCTCCTCCTTCCCTCCTCCTTTTTCTTCTCCTCCTCTCCTCCTTTCTCCCCCTCCTTCCTTCTTCGTTCCCTCCTTTCTCTTTCTCTCCTTCTCCTCTCATCCTTCTGTCCTCCTTCTTCCCTCCTTCTCCTTTTCTCCTCCTCCTCCTTTTTCCTCCTTCCCCATCTTCTCTCCTCCTCCTTCTTTCTTCCTCCCTATCTGTCTTCTCCTCCCCTTCTGGTCTGTCTCCTGTCCTCGTTTGTGTTCCCCCTCCTTCCTCTTCCCCTCCTTCTTTTGTTTAGCTTTTTTGCTAAACATTATCTAGAAACAGCCAAGTTCATGGTGAGGTTAGTGGAATGAATAATTAAATAAAATAAAATTATTTCGCTTAATAGCACTAATTCTTTGTGCCACATCGCCCTCTTTTTTTACAGTCAAAATTTCATTTTAAGTCCCCTTTATTAGGTAACAGCATTTATTAACCTTCCTGTGCTTCTTTGTAATATGTTTTATTTCCCCTGTTGTTTTCACTGGATTTAATATTTTAAAACATTTTGGGACCCGTTCCATTAATCTCTGATTCCTGGGTGGATTAAAAATCTAATTAAAAGTACAAAAAGTTATAACTTTAAAGCAGAATCAGAACCATCTAACTCTTCTACTTCCCAAATGTGAGCATAGTTAACCAAGAGAAGAAAGAGCACAGGAGTGGTAGAATAGTCAAAATGGTCAAAAAAGTCAAAATGGTAGCTGCAATTATTTGACCAGTGCCCCGTTTCTTTTTAAAGTACACTGCACACGGAATGCATGTTAAAAAGGGGTGCAGCTTCACTCCCATAGGCACACCTCCCAAATTGATTTTTTTGTGGAAGGGCACCCCCTGTTCATGAAAAGAAACACCTATGAAAACCAGGGTCATTAATTAATTATATTTTCCCAGCAAAACTATATTATCATGGTTGTAAACTGGTAGAGAGGATTTTCCCAACCAAGTCAATGCTCAGGCATATGGACTTCAACTCCCAGAATTCCAGAGCCAGCACAGCCATTGCCGAGAATTCTAGGAGTTGAAGTCCACCAATCTTCGATAGGCTAAGGTTGGGAAACAATAGGGCATGGGGTCCCTAAACTTGGCAACTTTAAGACTTGGGACTTCAACTCCCAGAATTCTCCAGCCAGCTATGCTTACAGCTATGTTGGCTGGAGAATTCTGGGAGTTGAAGTCCACAAGTCTTAAAGTTGCCAAGTTTGAAGACCTCTGTGATAGAGGAACCAAAGTGAAACCTCTATTTCAGGGGTTCCCAAATTTGGCAACCTTAAGGCCCGTGGACTTCAACTCCCAGAATCCTCAGCAATCGTTGTGCTGGCTCTGGAATTATGGGTGTCAAAGTCCATATACCTGGAAATTGCCACAGTTGGGGAAACCCGCTCTAATTATTGCAGACAGAAATACATCACTAATACAGAAGCAACTTTAACAGGATTTTTTTTCTTCAGATAACACTAAGTGGCCCAGTCCATGCCACACCAGTCAGTCAATGTCTTCCTGGTTACAACTTTGTGACTTGCCGATTTCCCTTTGTTATACACCCATTTGTTCTGTTTATCATTCAGTACAGTGTGAAAATCCAGGAAATGGGTCCGTTTGGTAATCAGGGACGTGTGTTGTGTGAATCCAATGTTTTACACCTTTTTTGACTATTATATGAACACTTACTTCTCCTTCCAAGAAGCTTTTGATTTCCAGGTCCCACCATGTCTTCATTCCAGAATTAGAATAATGGAATCATAGGGCTGTAAGGGGTCTTGGAGGTCTTCTAGCCCAACCCACTTCCCAAGCCAGAAGACCTTATGGCTGTTCAATCTTTTCATGAAAACTTCCAGTGATGGAGTACCCACAAGTAATAGGAGGCAACTGTTCCACTGATTGATTTATTGTTCTCACTTTCAGGAAATTTCACCTTAGTAAGTTCCAGTTGGAATCTCGAATTAATCAGCTTCCAGCTATTGCCTCTTTTCCTGTCCTTAGGTGCTTTGGAGAATAAGTCAACCCCCTCTTCTCTCTGATAGCCCCTTAAGTATTGGAAGACAGAACAGTGGTGGTATTCAGTCAGCTCGGACCGGTTCAGTCTGGTTTGGGCGAATCGGTAGTGGCAACCTGTGGTGGGCCTGCCCACTCGCGACGGTTCTATGCCATCCTATTTAGCCACATTTCCTAAGTTGTGCGCATGTGTGCAAGCCATGCACATGAGCTCATGAAGCGAGTGGGCATGCACACACACACACACTCGCAGTTTTGGTGCGCAGCAAACTGGTGATAAAATTATGTGAAACCCACCTCTGGAGAGATATCCTGTCACCCCTAAACTTTCTCTTTGTTAGGCTCGACATACCTAATTCCCTTAAACATTCATCACACTATTTAACCTCCAGATGTTTTCATCATCTATGTTGTTTTTTCCTGCACACTTTCTGGGGCATCTTTCTTTTTGTATTGTGGTGGATGGAGCATTCCAGTTGTGGCTTCACTAATGCAGTATAGAATGGAACTCTGTTGATGTAGCCTACAATTGCACTGGCCTTTTTGGCAGCTGCAGCACATTGTGGGGCTGATACTTAAGTGATGTTCCCCTCGGTAAGAGCCGAGGTGGCGCAGTGGTTAAATGCAGCACTGCAGGCTACTTCAGNCCCACCTCGGAAGGATGGAAGGCTGAGTCAACCCTGAGCCGGTGAGATTTGAACCGCTGAACTGCAGATAGCAGTCAGCTGAAGTGGCCTGCAGTGCTGCACTCTACCCACTGCGCCACCTCGGCTCGTCTAGAGATCAGCCGGTTCACACCGGTTTGAGAAAACCGATAGTGGCAACCTGCAGGCGGGTGAGGCCCCCTTCTCCCTTCCCCCCCTGCTTTATGCCATCCTATTTAGCCACGTTTTCAAAGCCATGAGCATATGTGCAAGCCACGCATGTGAGCATGCGTGTCCAGGGCGAACCAGTAGTAAACTTATGTGAAACGCACCTCTGAGTTCTAGGCATCATACATACAGCAGTTCATTTTCTATTTTCCACTACAATAGATCTCAGTTGAAAAAAGACCAACTGACCCTACATAGCCATGACTCCTTCTGTACACAAGGACAGCCTTAAATGTCTGACTACTTGCATGGATGAACCATCTGTAAGTTGTGTCACAGCAACTGGACTTCTCTGCTTCTTGATTTGAATTCTTTAGTTGCTCATTCAAGCAGCTTCCTCGGTCAGAGCAAGCTGGTTAGGCGGAGAGTTGTTGGAAGGTACCCATTTAGAATAACAGAGTTGGAAGGGACCTTGGAGGTCTTCTAGTCCAACCCCCTGCTTAGGAAGGAAACTCTATACCGCCTTCAGACAAATGGTTATCCAACATAAAAACGTCCAGTGTTGGAGCATCTACAACTTCACGTCTTCATGGCAATAAGTCGGTGCCAAATCTCAGTCCATATAGAGGTATCTGTAAGCTGAGCCATGGCAAATGGGCTTATTTTGAGATACGTTTATCTCTGACCGTTTTGGGGAAGAAATCCTGTGGTTTGGTGGAGGAGGGGTTGATACATCCCAAAATCTCTCTGCCTAGCCAACTGGCTCTGGCTCAGAGGAGCTCCTTTGTTGTAGGAGGAGAAAGAGGAATTAGTACAATCCAACAATTGTCTGCTAATGAATTTGCTTTGAGAGCAGTGAAACGTTTCAAACCAGTAAGAAAATAAGTTTAATTGCTATGACTCAACATTGACCTGGGAGACTGAGAATCTTCACTGACATATTTTTCCTAATTTTGTAATACACACAACTCTCGAACAACTTTTGAGTTTGGTTATAATCAGGGGTGAAATCCAGCAGGTTCTGACAGGTTCTGGAGAACCATTAGTGGAAATTTTGAGTAGTTTGGAGAACCGGCAAATACCATCTCTGGCTGGCCCCAGAGTGGTGAGGGAATGGAGATTTTGCAGTATCCTTCCCCTGCCACGCCCACCAAGCCATGCCCCCAGAACTGGTAGTAAAAAAAAATGAATTTCACCACTGGTTATAATCTAAGCAAAGCAGTTGTTAAATGAGTTCTGCCCCCCCATTTTTAACCACAATTTTAACCACAGAACCACTGCAGTTGTTAAGTTAGTAACATGGTTGTTAAGTGGCTTCCCAATGGCCTTTGCTCGTCAGAAGGTCACCCACAAAAGGGGATTCCCACAACCCCCAGGACACTGCAACCATCATCAATATGAGTCAGTGGCCAAGTGTCTGAATTTTGATCACACGATCCTGGGAATGCCGCAAAGGTCGTAACTGTAAAAAAAAAAAAAAGGGGTGATAAATCACTTTTTCCAATGACATTTGGAACTTTGGATGGCCACTAAATGAATGGCTGTAAGTCGGGGACCACCTGGACTTGGAAAGTGAGATAGTTGTGGCAAAGTGGAGCATTGCCCCCACCCCCACCCTGTGGACAAGGGAGCGTAACTTTGGCTGTCTACACAACGGTCACCAACTGGTGGTCTGCAGAAAAATTATTTGCATTTTTTTGTTTTGCACTAAATTGTAGGTCCTCAAACTATGGCCTCTGAGCTGAATACATGCAATGAACGTTTGTGTTGCTGCAAAGAGTCTCTCCCTTCGGGGGCTTTTTGTGTGGGTCGGAGGGGGGCTGAAATTTCAACTTGGGGTCTGCTTCAGCCTCCTGGTGGGGAGCTTTGGGCGAAGGCTGGATGGGAGCGCCACTGGTGGTGAAGAGCCGGAGGGCCTCGTTCCAGTGGGACTGCATCATGGCCTGGAACTGGCTGACCATCTCAGCCCGCTGAGCCTCCAAGCGCCGGCACCTGGCCTTGCACTCCCGCAGGTCTTCCCTCTGCTTGGAAACCCTATGCTCCTAGTCCTCAGTGAGGTGCTTCTGCTGAGCCGCCTTCTTGGTCAGATCCAAATTGAACTGAGCTGTTTTGCCAACTCTTTCTCCTGGTGGCTGCTTAGCTCCAGCAACTGCTCCCTGTTGGGGTCCCAAGGAGCCCAGGCGGGCAGGCGGGGAGGGGCTGGAAGGAGAGGGGTGAGTAGAGGCCAGCCAGGCATCCCTTGATGTGAGTGACATCGAGTTGGCCACGCCCACCCAGTCACATGACCATCGAGCCACACCTCCCCAAGTAGATCATATTAGTGGTCCGCGGGATTTAAAATTATGAATTTAGTGGTCCCTGAGGTCCGAAAGTTTGGAGACCCCTGGTTTAAAAGATTCTCTGTTTTTAGCATTGGGAAATGCAAAGGAGGTTTGGTCAGGTTGTTTTTCCCAGCTGGGGTGGGTGGGTGGGTGGGTGGGTGATAGTCTCCCCTCCCCCCTAGGATTTGTGATCTCTGGTCTTAAAAATCGGTGAAACTCTTCTGTGGATTTTCAGGGGCGTATCTGGGAGTGACTTCCAAGTGACAGAACTCACCAAAACATTATAAGAATGAAAGGCTAAAATATGGAATTGAAATTTACACTGTGGCTCCCCCATTGCTACATATACACACAGAGCAACAAACCACTTGTTTCTCCTTTAACATTGAAACAACAGGATGAAAAATGAGAGTTTAGCATTTCTGGATATAGAAAGAGGGTATCTGAGATTGGAATTTAAGATCAGATTTTTTTCTCCTGTTTCAGTTAATCAATAGTTGCTTGTCTGTGGAATTTCTTATCTCAAGAAGTGTGGCTGAGATTAAACAGAACATCCTTCCAAGGGCATGAAAATATTCCCAAATATATTTAAGACTAACCCAGTTTTATAGCATTTGTTTCTTTGGGGGAAAAAATGGAAAATATTGTTATTTAGGAAATTCTAGAACAGTGTTTNCCGGGATGCCCGTTTTCCTTCCTCCCCGAACCTTCATTTACCTTGCATCCAAAACAGGCTGCATGGAGACTCCTGGGAGGGGAGGGGTGGGCTGGGCTGAGCCAGCCAGGGGTGAGATTTGGAGGTTTTCCAAACCAGCCATAACATTAGCTATGGGTTCTCCTGAACCAGGGGGAATCTGTAGCAGCCTACCTTCTGCGGCGTTGGCTATTCCTGCCAGTTTGGGTGTTGTCTGCAAATTTGATGAGTTTCCCATTCTATCCCCTCGTCTAGATTGCTTATGAAGATGTTGAATTTTTGAAGTCATCCCCGCACTGTAGTTCAGCTGAAATAGGAACTCAGATCTAGCCAACATATCACTGCATTATACAGATAGTCCTCAACTTACAACAGTTTGTTTAGTGACCATCTGGAGACATAACAGCACCTGAAAAAAGCTATTTATGACCATTTTTCACATTTACAACATTCCCACGTTGTGATCAAAATTCAGATACTTGGCAATTGAATCATATTTATTATCGTTGCTGTGTCCTGGGAGGGTGATGTGATCACCATTTGCAACCTTCTGACATGCAGGGAAGCCAGATTCCCTTAACAACTGTATTAGTAACCTAACAGTTGCAGTGATTCACTTAACAAGTGGGGCAAGAAAGTTTGTAAAATGGGGCAAAATTCACTTAAGAGCTGTCTTGCTTAGCAGCAGGAATTTTGGGGCTCAATTTGTCGTTGTAACTTACTTGAGGCTTTCCTGTACACCCTGCTTCTAGGATCCTTTCACTTGCTGAAAGTGCTATGGAGGAATCAAAATATAGATCAGACAAATATTTCTCAACCTTCCAAACTCCAAGATGTATGAACTCAAACTGCCAGAATTCCCCAGCCAGTATGAAAAGCAAAAGATTAAACTACAGATTAGCAATGTTTGACCTGCAAAATATGCTCATCTCTTTTTTGGCCATATAAAACAAAGTTTCATGTTAAAAAAAAAAAATATAAAAATAAATAAAGCAACAAAATGACTAGGGGATTGGAGGCAAAAATAAACGAAGAATGGTAACAGGAATTTAATATGTTGGATTGAATTTCACTATTCCAGTGAAAAAAAGGACTAGCAATAGCACTTAGACGTATATACCGCTTCACAGTGCTTTTACAGCCCTCTCTAAGTGGTTTACAGAGTCAGCCTCTTGCCCCCAACAAACTCGGTCCTCATTTTACCGACCCTGGAAAGATGGAAGGCTGAGTCAACCTTGAGCAGGTGGGACTTGAACTGCTGACAATCAGCAGTCAGCAGAAGTAACCTGCAGTACTGCACTCTAACCTCTGCGCCACCACAGCTCTAGGGATAACGTAATAGCAGTGTTGCAATATTTGAGGGGCTGCCCAGGGGTGAAATCTTCGCTACCGGTTCGCAAATGTGAGCGTACAGGACCTTCCGCACATGCGCAGAGCCTCAAAAACGGACGTGATGACGCCTGGGTGGGTGGGCGGAGCCTGATACCGAGCGCGCCTGCAAAGGTAAGTAGAACAACAAAAGGTGTGGGTGTGGGTGTGGAATCTGCTGTGCCATGTGATTTAGGGTTCACCGACAAAAGGGCGAACGACAAATCTGCGCCCGACTAAACCGCATCGCTGACGTCATCAACAGGGCGACAACAGCGCGGAGACAGAAGCACGCTGTAAACCCTAAACCTAAACTTAACCCCTAGCCCTAAACCTAACCCTAAACCTAACCTTAAACCTAACCCTAACCCTAACCCTTAACCTAACCCTAACCCTAAACCTAACCCTAACCCTTAACCTAATCCTAAACCTAACCCTAAACCTAACCCTTACCTTAAGTTAAATTGGCTTTCTTTCGACGCGCTATTTAAAGCGCCCTTCTTTCTCCGCGCTGGCTGTTGTCGCCCCGTTGATGACGTCAGCAACGCGGTTTAGTCGGGCGCGGTTTTGTCATTCGCCCTTTTGTCGGGTCACGGTGATTTAGATTAGCTAGAAAGAAGGAAATACCAGTTCGCCCGAACCAGTAGCATTTTTTACTATTGGTTCAGGCGAACTGGTCCGAACCAGTCGCATGTCACCCCTGGGGCTGCCACAAAGAAGAGGTGGTCCACCTATTCTCCAAAGCACAAGAAGTAACGGATGGAAACCAATCAAAGAGAGAAGCAACTTAGAACTAAGAACTACATTTCCTGACATTGAGAATAATTAATTAGTGGGACAGAAGTTTCCTTCAGAAGTTGTGGTTGCTCCAACACTGGAGGTTTTTAAGAAAAGATTGGACAACTATTCGTCTGAAATGTTATAGAGTTTCCTGCCTGATCAAGGGGTTGGACTAGAAGACCTCCGAGGTCCCTTCCAACTCTGTTTAACCAGTACCTTAATGGCTCATAGCTTACATTCTTCACCACTTTCTCAAAATATTCTTCTCATTCTTCCCTATCTCTCACCTCTAGTTAACCCCATGCAAAAGAATCAACAGGGCAGCACCATCCACAAAACTCACTTTGGCTTATCCGGCCTTACAAGTCAACAACCGTGAGTAAATTATTAAGTTCTCAGGTCCCTGGGATGATATTTTTCCCCCCTTCTCTTTAAAACAGAGGTGACTTTAGAGTCAAGGACACTGGAGAGTTTGGAGGAAGAGAAAATTAATTGGAATGTTGTTTCTTGACGGCTCCTGTTTATCTGCAACTCCTTCCTGCTTATCTGCGGTTTTGAGCTTGGCTGGTTTTTTTTTGCAGATGTTTCATTATTCAACTAGGTAAAAGGGAACGGGGTTTGCTTTCTTTTTATATACAAATGATTTGGGCCTGTCAGAGTTAGTCAGGGTTGGCTTGATGGTCCCTTGAATAAGCTGCTGTTTACTGTTTGATTGATTGCTGGACAATTCCTGAATCCTGACACTCCGACAGGTCAGCCATCAACAAGCATAGAAATAAAAAAAACATCCTCATCCCACCCAAAGCAGACCATCCAAAAGGAAACCTGTCAATCAATCAACACCTAGAGTACTGCATCCAGTTTTGGCCACCACACTATAAAAAAAGGATATTAAGACTCTAGAAAAAAGTACAGAGAAGAGCAACAAAGGCTATTAAGGGACTGGAGACTAAAACATATGGTTGCAGGAACTGGGCATGGCTATTCTAGTGAAGAGAAGGACCAAGGGAGATATGGTAGCAGTCGTCCAATACTTGAGGGGCTGCCACCGAGAAGAGGGGGATAAGCCAGTGGTGAAATTCAAATTTTTTTTTTACTACCGTTTCTGTGGGCATGGTGTGGCTTGGTGTGCATGACTTGGTGAGTGTAGCAAGGGAAGGATACTGCAAAATCTCCATTCCCACCCAACTCAGGGGCTGCCAGAGGTGGCATTTGCCGGTTCTCCGAACTACTCAAAATTTCCGCTACCGGTTCTCCAGAACCTGTCAGAATCTGCTGGATTTCACCCTGGCTCAAGCTATTTTCCAAGGCAGGCCAGGCAAGGAATAATGGATGGAAACTGACCAAGGAGAGATTCCACCTAAAAACAAGGAGGAGCTTTCTGACAGTGAGAACAATCAACCCATGGAACAGAAGTTGCCTTCGGAAGTTGTGGGAGCTTCATCATTTGAGACTTTCAAGGAGAGACTGGACTGTCCTCTGTCGGAAATGGTGTAAGGTCTCCTGCTTGAGCAGGGGGTTAGACTAGATGACCTATAAGGTCCCTTCCAACTTTTTAAATCTGTTAAATCTGTTAAACCTAAATAAGCAGGGATTAACATAAAGTTAACATTAGGCCAATAATCAAGCAATAAACAGCACAAGGAACTACAACCAAGACAGAGAAACTAACATTAAACAATGGCCTGACCAAAGAACTACCAAGACCACTAGTTTACAGGGTAAACTAGAATACTCTTTGAAAGTCTCAAGTGATGAAGCCCACACAACTTCCAAAGGCAACTTCTGTTCCATTGGTATATAAACATAGAGGAACGCCCACTTTCCTCTGGAACCAATGTTCATTACACAATTGGGTAAAGAAACATTTGCAAAACAAAAAACAAAAAAACTATCAAGCTCCGTTGTTCAATCCTGTGTTTCAGAAATTGTCTTCTGATGGTGCTTATCTGGTATGGGTTGATAAGGTAAAAAGCCAACACAGTTCTAGGCTGCATAAACAGAGAGATAGAATCAAGATCACGTGAAGGGTTAATGCCACTTTATAATGCCTTGGTAAGGCCACACTTGGAATACTGCATTCAGTTTTGGTCACCACGATGTAGAAAAGATGCTGAGACTCTAGATAGAGTGCAGAGAAGAGCAAGAAAGAGGATTAGAGGATTGGAGGTTAAAAAATATGAAGAACAGTTGCAGGAACTGGGTATGTCTAGTTTAATGAAAAGAAGGACTAGGGGAGACATGATAGCA